TTGGGCTTATTCTGTTTTCCTAATACGAGTATTCACTGCTATGAATTTCCCTCCTAAGACTGCTTTCATTGTGTCCCATAGATTCTGATATGTTGTATTGTCTTTGTCATTTAATTGAAGGAACTGTCTGATTTCTTTTAATAGCCTCTGTGACCCATTGGTTATTCAGAAGTGTGTTGTTCAATTTTCATGTGTTTATAAAATTTTTTGCGGTTTCTTTTGCTATTGATCTCCAATTTCATGACACTATGCTCTCATAATATAAAGGGGCTAATTTCAGTTTCTTTGCACATAGTTCAACATGTTCTTGAGCGAGTATTTGGTCTATGTTGGAGAACGACCCATGTGCGATGAAAAGAATGTGTATTCTGATTTTGTGGGGTGGAACACTATAAACATCTGTTAAGTTCATTTGTTCAAGAATTTGCTTGAGTTCTAGTGTTTTGTTGGTTATTTTTTGTCTAGTTGATCTATGTATTTTTGTCAGTGGGGTATTGAGGTCCCCCACTACTATTGTATTAGTGCTTATTTGATTTTTCATGTCTGTTAGTATTTCTTTTATATAGTTGGGGACACTGGTGTTTGGTGCATATATGTTTATGATTGTCTTCTCTTCCTCTTGGATTTTCCCTTTACAAGGATATAGTGTCCTTTGTCTCTCTTATTCAGTGTTGTTTTGAAACCCACTTGAACTCCAAAGAGGATAGCTATTCCTGCTTTTTTTTTGGTTACTGTCTCATGGAATATTGTTTTCCACCCCTTAACTTTCAGGGTGTTTCTTGTATGCAGCATATTGTTGGATTTTGCTTCTTGACCCATTCTGCCAGTCTCTTTCTTTTGCTTGGTGAATTGAGACCATTAACATTGATGGCTATAACTGATACCTATTGACTTATCATTGTCATGACTTTTTCTTTTTTTGAATTCTCCCCCTTTACGTTTAATTTCTTTTTGTGCTCTATAGGTTCATTCTGCTGGGATTCCTAGGGTTGTGATCCTCCTTGTCTTTTCCTAGGCTATTGTCTAAAATTTGTTAGAGTACTGGTTTGGTTTTCATGAAGTTCCCAAGGTGCTCTTTGTCATGAAAGTATCTTATTTCTCCATCAATTTTGAAAGATAGTTTTGCAGGGCGCATTAATCTGGGTTGAAGGCTCTTTTCCTTTAGGGCTTTGAATACATCTCTCCAAGCTCTTCTTGCCTTGAGGGTTTGCATTGAGAAGTCTGCTGTAATTCTGATGGGCTTTGTGATTTGTTTCTTTTCTCTTAACTGCTTGTAGAGTTTTGTTCTTCTATTGGGTTTCTGGAATTTTAACAATTATATGCCTATGTATAGATTTTTTTGGATCAAGGCTATTTGAAGTCCTGTATGCCTCACTTATCTGTATGCCAAGTTCTTTTCCCCTGCTTGGGAAGCTTTCTGCAATCACTGCTGTGAACAGTTTTTTTATGTCATCTGCAGTCTCTCCTGTTTCTTCATTGACTCCGATCAGTCTTATGTTATTCTTCTTTGCATCGTCCTGTAGCTGCTGGATTGATTGCTTGTGGTCCCTTACAATTTTAAAGAAATTTTTCTTTTCTTGGTCACTAATTGCAATCTTATGTTCTGTATTTGAAATTCTGTCCTCACATTGGCTCCTTGTGCTGTGTAAACTTTCAGTGGAGTTTTTAATCTCCTGGAAGTCTGTTTGCATATGTTTTATGGATTCCATTTGTTTCCTATGTTGGTATTCCATCATGTTCCTCAGCTCCTCTATTTTTTGTTTATCTGTGTCCTCTCTAGATTTATTAATCATGTCTTGCACTAAGGGCACAATCTCTGCTGTCATCTGAGAAATTATTTCTGATTTCATTTTTTCCAGATCCCCTTTTGTTGAATGTTCAGGGAGTCCAGGTGACTGAATATCAGAGTGTTCCATCTCATTTCCCTTTGGGGTTGCTGTAGGTGATATGGAAGTCTGGTTTTAAGACTTGTTTATGTGTCTTCTCATTTCATCAGGGGAGTTGGGGGGAGTGCTGCTGGAGTCCATGTGACTCACCTCTTCTGCTCTGGGAGCAGTGGTACATTGGCCTGGAAGCCTCCTCCTCTGTGCTGGGAGTGGTGATAAGGCAGCTGGAAGCCTCCTCCTCTGGTGGGAGTGGTGGTAAGGCCCCTCTTAGAACTTTCAATGATACAGCCCACTGGCTCACGTGTGCCATAGATCCACCACCAGTAGGTTAACCTATAACCATGTAGTGGCAAAAGAGAATACCACCAGCAGAATTACCAATTCTGGAGAATAAAATTCAGTGTCAAAGTGAGGGGTCTGTTAGAGTTAATAAAATATGGTAAAAAATATGTCTGTCTTTAGGAAACATTTATTTCAGATACATTTTTACCTTTACACATATTTCTGTGTGTATCATTTTTCCCCTGACCTTCCACTATGGTCAGAAATGTAGTTTGACCCCAAATAAACTAAAAGGCATACTAAATGTCATCATTCAGCTGATTTTTGGAGAAAGTCATAGCTATCTCTTTAAAAGGTTTTGTTTAACAAAAAACTCTAGCATATAAAATACTCAAAGTATTGCTCGATATTACAGGTATTTCAGCTTTGTTTTTAATGTTTATCTCAGAAAACTAAACCAGTTACATCTGCTTAGTCCTTCAAATTAAATATACCTGGTGTTTTGCTGTTGTTACCATTTTAACTGCTAGTTCTGTGGACTTTCTTCCATTATCTCTCTCCCAGGATTTTAAATGTTCTAATCCATGCAAAGTGTTTAGCATGTTTTCTAAATTCTTTGAGATAAAGCCAGCTTGTTTTTTTTTAACAGAGCTCATGGAAACAATGTTAGCTAAATCTAATTCCACTTGATTTTCTTATAAGTACACATTCCAGTAGATAATGAGATTGACTGTAATTAATATGGATTAGGTGTTAGAATGTCAGCAAGTTTTCTGTAGGTCTATTGTGTAAAAAAATAAAAGAGGCCCCTGCTTCCAGCCTAAGTCCTTGAGGTTCCCTGAACACAACTGAGGATCTTTCTGCAGACTGATATAATGATACCAGGTCATGAATGTCAGTCAGTCCAGTCTGCCACCTAATTACAATGAGAGTTCTAGGGAATTACTACGAATTTAGTTTTCCTTACAATTTTTTACAGGTATTAAGGCTATGTCACAAACAGGTACAGTTCATTTAGAGAAATATTTAGAGTAAGACTTCAGCATGTGAGGGGGAGCAAAGTGGATGAGTATGAGTGGGACTAAAGCAGCCATAAGTGGCTGGCTGGGCTCGTGATGCCATGTAAGTTTTCATCATTCTACTTTTGTGTATATTTAAAACTCTCCAGTTTTCTTTTCAATTCTGATACTTCTGAGTGGCACTTCTTAAAGCAATGTCTCGAGGTAGCCTACAGTATTGAAATGCCAGTGTATCTGGTTATTACAAACATTGGAGAAAAATATTTATAGCTGCAATTATAGGTCATAGTAGGCACAAAGTTGTATTTCCAAACATTTCCTATTGATGTATCAGTGTATTTCAAAGGGATTTTATGTGATTTAGGCCAGTACTATCAAAGTTTAGTGAGAATCTGAATGCCCCGGAACTGAGGAATGCTTAAACAGAACAGGACTGGATTCCTGGTCCTGTGCCCCAGAGTTAATTAGGAGGCCTGAAGTGTACCTAGGTATTTACATTTTTAGTTTAAGTTCATGAGATGATTTATTGGCTATAATGAGTAATTGTTAGACTTTCATTTCATTGAAGTACATACACCAATAATGTGAAGGTGAAATGTTTTAATTGAGGCTTATTGGAACAGCAGAAACAACTTCAAGGTTTGTGGGTTATTTAAACAGTCTACATGAAAATATTTACAAAGCAACGTCATTAACATTTCTGTGTACAAGTTTCAAATAAAAATACAATTACAAATGTGAGGACATAACCAAGTTTTCAGCAAAGGCCTTGGGTTATAAGTAAGGAAAAGGTTGAAAATCTTGAACAGAACAGCGCTGGTTTGTGTAGGTGTATTTTGAAGCCACTTGAGATGTAGATACTTTTATTGTGTTGACATTTGGTAGCACAGCCAAGGGCCTAGGTGGTCATTTCCACCACCTTGACAGCAGCCAACAATACAAAAGGAACCCCCCCCCCTTATGTGCTTGTTTAGACATGACACGTTAGACAGGAACAGAAAGGAATTACCAGGTACGTGCCAGATGCATTGCATACACAGTCATCAGTGTCCATGGGGCGCTGGTCAAAACATCCTGCAGGTACCGACACCTGTGGATGCTCACGTCCCTTATACAAAATGCTTATACATGATTTATGCCTATTCTCTTAAGATACTTTGTCATCTTAACACCTGATACATTGTAAATGCTGTCTAAATGTTATACTGTGTTGTTGATTAATAAAAAGAAAATATTCTGTACATATTCAATACAGATGCATTTTTTCTGAATGCTTTCTGTCTGTGGTTGGTTGAATATTCAGATACAGACTGCAGCACAGATGAGGAGGGCCAGCTGGAGACAAGGTGCTCCAGACCTGACACACAATTTCCCACCTCAGAGAACTTCTTAGTTATATTTAAATTATACTCAAGAATAAGGTTTCATTTTATTTATTTTAGCATAGTAGGAGATAGTAAGAATTCTCTTGACCCAAACAACCTATTACAGTATCCAAAGGAAAGCTAAATCGAAACAGGTCATTTATATTACATTTATGTAGTTCTTTTTAAAAGAAAAAAAGAGGAACCATAAAATGTGAATGGTTACTCAGTGATGTTTTTTTAATTTTCCTATTCTGAGGTAGTCTAAAGTGAAGGAAGAGGCTGGGTGTGGTGGCACACACCTGTAATCCCAGCACTCAGAAGACTGGGGCAGGAGGATTGCTGTGAATTTGAGGCCAACCTGGGCTACATAATGAGTTCAAGGCCAGCCTGAGCTACGTAGTGAGACCCCCATCTCACAAAACAAAAGAAAAAAGTGAAGGAAGAAAATGATGTCTATTGAACAGGTGTGCTGTTACCTTGACCCTAAGTCAGGAGTTCTCTGCTAATCCTTTTCACTGTAGTAAGCTACACAAAAAATTGGAAGATCTTACTGATTTACTCAAACATCTTACCTTTTAGGTTAGTTTTGTGTACCCTAAAGAGCTGATTTTACTGGTCAGTGAATTACAAATTCTTATTATGTCAAGGCAAGTCTAAAATCAGTTTTTAGTCTCAAACATCTTTTTTGGTGACACAAGAAATTCACATTTATGCTTTAGTAATAAATCTTCTGTGGTCTTTGTAAAAGCCTATAATCTAATTGTTTTAAAATAATCTAATCCCTTAAGATATTAAACCTGAGAGTAAATTTTACTGGAAATATTTTCTCACTAAAAACTGAGCTTCTAGGACTATACCCACCCTGTACAGTACTGAGTGGACAGGGTCTGTGGAGTGAGTGGTTAATGCTGGTCTCAATGTCAAGTTCAGGTCTAGTATGATAAAAGATTAACCTAGCACAAACAGCAACAAAGTCAGCATGTTTCCATGATCCTGCCATTTCTAAAGTAAGCCTGCAAAGGAGTGTTAAGTTCCACAGCTTCTGGCCTTTATTCTAGCCAAACTCTAGTGGCCTTACCTAGATCAGACTTGCATAGTGATAGTTCGCTGGGATAAGGGCCAGGACACACAGAGATGAGATGGTGCCTGGATCCTCCCGTTGGCATCTGGGTAGCATGTGAACTGGGTCTGTGCTGATTAATGGTAGTGTTTATCTTGACCTAAAAGAGTCATTGAAGAGAGGCTGCCATTTTCACTAAGGACAGGTGAGTCAAGGCATGAGGGTACTGCCATTTGCATTTTATACTCTGAACAGAGTACTGGCACTGGTGAATGTATTAGAAGACTGTCCTTGTCTCCAGACATGGGGGAAGCCAACTGGGACACATAATTCAAACTAATTTTTCCAGCTGGTATTTCCCCCAGGGAATCTGTGTGTGTTTTTTCTAGAGTGTTTAGTAAATTGTCAGGTGAGGCCAATAGCTCCAGGTGACATGGTGGGGCTGTATCAGGTACTGGGGTATGGGCACAGGAACCAGAGTCACAAGCTGACTCACTATAGGTGTGGTTCACAAAAGAGATGCAGGGGCCAGGGACACAGAAATCCTGGGCTGGCAGGAGGTAAAGGTTGGCAGGCTTGGGGAATTCACTTTCTGTGAGTGGCTTCTCAATGCCTATGAACTGTGTTTTGGTTCCTTCTGATTTGTTTACAACTTCAATAGTGTCTGGAGTGCAGTCTTTGACATTCATTATTCTTAAGTGAGGGCTCTCCTGTAAAGGAAACAAAAAATATGTAAATATTAAGGTGTGTGTGCATGCAGCAAAATATTAAGCATGCAAAGTGCACTTAAAGCTTCAGTTTTGTTCACACTTCTTCCTTATCACAAGTCAACTTGGAGCTGGCATTAAAAACCAGACAGTTTTCCTGACAGGAGAAATCAAAGCTCCGATCACATATTTATTTATTTTTGGTGTTGGGGTTGAACCCTGACCTTCGTGCATGCTAGAAGTGCTCCAGCACTGAGCTACACTCAGTCTCCCCAGTCCCCTATTTCATGGCTGTAGAAACAGAGGTGCCTCTAATTCATTAGATTTTCCAAAAGAAGTCTAAGAAAGAATGACTAATATAGTCCCGACCTGGTTCAGTCCTTAATAGGTATGTGGTATACATAGTTTCCCCACATTTACCTTGGACTTTATTAATGACAGGATGCTGCTCTTGTAAGGATCTGGAATGTCAGGATAACACTTCTCCTTCACCCTAGGAAACAGTAAAATTGAGACTGAATTTCATAGTTTAGTGGAATCACTGAATATGAGACTCATAGGGTCAGATTTCTGGCTTCTAATCCTTGCTCTATCCCTTACTGAGCAAGTTTCTTAACTCTTCTGCACTTTAATTTTTTCATCAGCTAAAGGGAGAAAAGTGCAGTACTTACAGTGTTGTTACAGGGATTAAGTGGGTTTGCCTCAGTTATGTACTTTTCTTGCTGCTGAGACAAAATACCTGATAACCAAATTTAAAGGAGGAAAGGTTGTTTAGCTCACAGTTTGTAGAGGTTTCAGCTCATAGTTGGCTAGCTCCAAGGCAGGGTGGCATGACAGAGAGGCATCACAGAGGAGAAATAGTCCACAGCAAGTAGGCAGGCAAGAGCAAGCAAGGGATGACCGCAGCTCTTTCTGTCCCTTATATTTTATCCAGGCTGCTTAGGATGGGCAGCACTCACACTCTTAATCCTAGTACCCTAGCATTGCACCATGAATCAATCCTAGTGTCACACACTCTAGATCCAGCCACCTCTGAAAAAGCCGCACCTATGACCACATGAGGCTTTAGGGGGACATCTAGACACAAGCCATAACAGCGTTATTCTATAGAAAGCATTTCTAACACCACCAAAAACATAGTGATATGTAAATATTAGCTGTGGCTATTGAAAAATGTTTGCAAACTCCTTAAATGCTTTTCTTCAGTATTATCGTAGAAAGCAGAATTGTCAAATTATATATTCTTACCTAGGTTTCTTGTGTCTTTTTCCTTTTTAGCACTTCTTTCATATTACTCAAAGCCATTTCTATCTTAGTAAACATCTTTAGGATTTTCTCTGACTTCTTGGATAAAACCCTCCTCCCATACTTACCACTGGCTCTTCCAGTAGCACATGACTGCAATGAGCAAAACACAGAGTACCATAGGCAGTATGATATGCATCAGCATGTGGGCTGAAGAAGGAAAAAGGAAGATTTTAATAATTACTTCTACTGCTGCAAAAAATAAATTTATGAATGAGAATAATTTTACATGTTTATTGTCTGTCCTCCAAATATCTATACAAGCTTCAACATGCTTAGGAGGCAGAAAAATGTGTGTATGTGTGTATGTGTGTGTGTGTGTGTAACAAAAAGTGAAAGAGAAAGGGGGAGAGACGGAGTGATTGGGGAAGAAAAATTTGAAAAGTCCTGATCTAGACAAAGCCCAAGGCCACATTTCTCTTGTGAATTTCCCAGCAACTCCTCAGAAAAGTGTTTTGATTTGGAAAAACTCACAGTGTTCATCTTGGGTTGTGACCTTTGTGAAAGTTCCAATGGGGCTCTTGCCAGCACTTGTGAAGGAAGAGACGAAAAACTCGTAGAAAGATTCAGGTTGCAGATTTTCCACAAGGAATATCTTCTGTTTTGGGTTGTTGATGGCATGTTCACAACATGTTGAATTATCTGTGATTTTTTTAAATTTCAAAAGAAAAAAGAAAAAAGAGAAAAGAGATCTTGTGAGAGAATGGGACACTAATATTCTGGTTGCCTTGGCACTGTCAACATTTTTAAATCAAACAAAAGTCAAATAACTTTAACTAGGGTCCCTGGATATAATAAAAAAATTCACTAAAGAAGGGATGTTGATGAATAAGTGATAATTTGAAATAGGAAGAAAAGATCCAAAGGGGTAAGGGTGGTGGGAGGAGAAGGGGAAAGGAAAGAAGGGAAAGGAAAAATTATGAGAAAAGAAAAAATAAATGGAAGCAAAGTCTATGTAAATAGGGAAGGGTGGAAGGGGTGAAGGGCACACAGGTAATGGGGAAAAAAATAAGAACCAAGATACATCATGTACAGGTACAAGCACACAATGATAAAAGTAAACATACTGTTTACCTAAAATGTACCAATAAAATAATTTAAGGGAAAAAAAAATAAAACATATAAGACTGTGAGAAAAAAAAAAGAAGGGATGTTGAGGATGGGGTGACAGCCCACATGGGTAATCCTACCAGTCCAGGAAGCTGAGGCGGGAGGATCGAAAGTTCTAGCCCAGTCTGGGCAACCTAGTGACTTAGAAAGAGTCTGTCTCAAAATAAAAAACTAAAAAAAGTTTGGGATATACCTCAGTATGAAGGCCCTTGGTTCAATCCCTACTACCTCAAAAAAAAATAAATAAATAAATAAATTAATTAATTATAAAAGAAGGGATACTGGGGACACAAGTAGAGCATACAAATCTTCCAGAGAATGTAAGGGCTTGGAAGAGACTTAAAATATGTTGGACTGGAGGTGTAGTTCAGTGGTAGAACACTTGCTTAGCATTCACCAGAGCCTTGGTCTAATCCCCTAGCACTATCAAAAACAAATAGTAATAAAATTTAGCAAAGTCAAAGAAAAAAGTTTCATAAGCAATGAGACATTTTAAGGATCAGATCACCAGGCCCCCATTGTTTTTTAAGTAAGTTAAAACAGTGTGCCCGCCGCTCTTTGCTTAGCTTCCTCATTTGTTTGAGAACCTTCTGACTACAAAGCCCTGCAAGAAGGGCACTTGGGCTGGCCTCAGTCAGAGATAGCAGTCTTCTCAATGCTCTTGAATAATGAGATCTTGAAAGTGCAAACAAATCAAAGCTACATCACCTGGCAGAAGCTCCGCTACAGAATCTAGATGGCACTGAGTGGCCTTGGACTTCAGACAGACCCGGTATCCTTGTATGAAACCACGCTGGGCCTCAGTGTCGTAATCCTTCCAGCTCAGAGTGAAGGAGTGGGATGTCACATTAATGGCTTTCACTTGAGGGCTGTCAGAAGGAGCTAGGAGAGGAAGTTGGGGCGGGACAATGTCGTGATCTGGAGATAGTATTGGAAAATTCATGGATACTGAGCACATATCCACAACCAGCTCCTGAGGCTGTAGAGCGTATACTGAGCTAAGGAGTTTTACCTCTTTTCCAGGAGGATTTATGCCTTAATATAGTTTGTGAAAGTTAGGAAAGAGTGGAACCATCTTTTTGTTTAGACACTGACTTTCACAGATGAAGAAACAGATAACCAGAGTGGCCAAGTAACTTGCAGAGGATCACTTGATTCTGTGGGTGAATTCTAAATGATGTCTGAGGGAAGATTCAAGCACAAAGAATGTACTCAAATGAAGATGAATGGGAGAAAGAGGCAGGGTTATGTTGAAAAGGGCGAGGAAGCATTTTTGAAGAACTCTAATTCCCACATGGAGGCGATGTAGTTATCTAAATGTCACTGAAAAAATCTGGGAATGTTTATTCTGAAGGCTTCCCTGGGTCTGCTTCCCCCTCACGTGCTCATGCACACCTGATCTGTACACACGGACACACTGAAGCAGCACACTTCCTGCCTGTTCGAAAGCAGCTGGAACCTGGATCAGCTCCCAAGTGAACCCACCCAGAGAGCTGGTCTGTGAGTGCGAGCAACTCAGGTCCTGTGCACAGCTCACAGCTGGGAAGCCCTGGATGCAGCAGAAGGAGAGTAAGCAGGCGCCTGGGATAATAATAATTCTAAATTGTCCAACAGCAGGTGATCTGACATATCTACCTATCTGTATCTCTATCTATATCTATATATCTATATCTACCTATCTATCTATATGTTGGGTCACTTTTCGGTCAGGAAAATTAGATGATTAAATAAATAAATAATATTTAACGACATGAATCAAAAAAGCAATTTACAAAATGTGTAGAATAAGATTCCATTTTTATGGAAAGGGAGACTACTAGGATATATCTAAAATATTAACTCTGGACTTTTGCCTTTGAGTGTTAAAATTAGCAAAGATTTTACCTTCTCCTTTTGCATAGCATTTTATAAATAGCCTGTAATGAAAATGTTTTACATTTGTATAACTGGAAAATAATTTTAAAAACTCAATTCCCAGGATAAATGGAACTATGAAAATTAAGTAAGGGGATGAAATCTTCTTAAACCCCAAACTAGGAGTCTTCACAGGGGACAGATTAAATGCTTTAAACTTACCCAGTTCCTGGGTATATCCTATTTTGTTCTCTACTAAATAAGCAATCTTTTCTGTAGATAGTTCATAAATTCTGAAGTTGTATCGGATCCCCGGTCTAAAAGCATCTAGAGGAGAAAAGTCACCAGATTTTCAGTAACAGAATAATATTCTCTTTAGTTCTGAAAAGAAAAACTGTGAAAAATGAATTTGTGTTACTCTAAGTTATTTCATCCTCAGATTTCGAGCATTTTTCTCCACCACCTTCTCTCCTTCCACTAAGCCTTATTCGTGTTGCAGAGGCTTGGTCCCCTCCAGCAAGGTGTCCTCTCCAGCAGGGACTGTCTTCTGCAGCGTCCCCTCCTGCAAGACCTCTCCAACACTCCCTTATTTGTCCACATAAAACCATTTGAAACCCTCGGTGACTGTAACCTCCTTAAAGTCGCTTGTTTCTCTTTTCACATTAAAGCCCACGGTCTTGAATAGTTTGCTTTCACTTCTTCACTTCCTCCCACATCTACATCTCTGCAATCTTGCCTCAGAGGCCACCAGGCCACTGAAACAAGTCAAAAGGCCCAGTAACTCTCTGGACTCAGAAACTTCCCACATCTGTCCAGTAGATGGTGACACCCACATCTCTTACTTAAACCACAAACAAACTGGGCTCCTTTGACTTTGCTAATTAGCAATCTATAAGTGATGAATCCAGTATAGGAAGTAAGGGTTTAAGTTCTACAAGTTTACTAAAACTGAAGGACTCTATGATTGAATGCCACCAACTCTGTCGTAAACATCTCTCCAAAACAGGCACTCTGTTTTTGTAAAAGCTGTCGGGACAACTGTTACAATGTCTCTCTGCGTTCACTTCAGACCACTAATTTAGAGGAGCAAGCTCATTAGAATCATGAAAATCTATGCAGACCTTGCGTCTACATACATTACAAAACTGTATTTAAAGCTCAAATCTTAGAATATATTTTTGTGAAATGTAAACTCTTAGCATCCAGGCTAGATTTGCCATTTCAAAATTATTAGGTTAACACAAAATGCCTATGAAGTAGACCAGCAATCCTGGCTGAACTTGCTGAAAGTGGCTACAATGGTATGATAATATGGGAGTTCTTACCTGAGCTGATGACTGTACTTGTGGTATTGGGACCTACATTCTTCCACTGTAATTCACAGTGCAGGTTCCTTTGATGCTCACACCAGTCCACAACATATCCTGCCCTGTCTTCAGATAGGGGTTTCCAAGAAATAAGGAATCCATCTTTGGTGCCATTAATTTTTTGTTCTTCAACCTCTTCTGCACAGAAACAAAGAGAGTAGTGCTTCTGATTTAATTAACTGTAACTCTTTAAACGGTTCTGAAGAAGAAAATAAATGTATATATGGAAAATATATGCTGTAGTTTGAATCTGAAATGTCCTCCAAAGGCCAATTGGTGAAGCTTTGGTTCTCAACCTTTACAAAGTGGGGCTCAGTTGGAGGAAGTAAGGTTATGGGGGGCCATGCCCTTGAAGGGGATATGGGAACTCTGGTGCCTTTCTCTCCCTCTTTGGTTCCTGGACCTGAGTTGAGTACTTGAGCTCCGCCATGCTCTCCCCACCATGATGTGCTGCCTCACCACAGCTGACCATAGACTAAACCTCTGAAACCGTGATCCAGAAACTAAAGGATAACATCATTGCAAGATGGATAAATAGCCTTAGAGTATCAACTACCAGTTGATTTATGCACACATGTGCATCATTTCATAGCACACAACTGAGAGGCATTACTGTACTCAACCTTTTCTATGGCTTTACCAAGAAGGAAATTGATATCATTAATGACTTTGCAGTTGAGGTCATTTCCACCTTCCTTATTCTTTTGCCATCTAAGACTGGTCAGGGGTCATCTTTTATTCTACAACATTGTCAAGGCATCTCCTGAAAGATGATGCCAATTGGTCTTACTACCACTGTAAATGTTCATGGGCTCTTTGTAGGTGGGAAAGACCGACAAAATTTTTTACAACACAGTAAATGCAACTCACATTTCACAAGCCACAAAGTATTGAAATACTGACCCTAATTCTCGGTAAGTGGGGTTGGATTTAATAATTCTCCTAGTATGTTGAAGAACTCCAGGACAGAAATGACCTGAGCTATGGCTGAAACCTCCATCCCTCCATGAAGCAACTGTCCTACTGAAATACCTGGCCCAAAAGAAAATGACTAACAGTGCTTGGTTGCTACCTTCCCAAGATACTGTCATCTTAATTTATTCATAACTACTCAGTAATATCATCAACATTTTTTTCAAGTGAAACAAAACCAACCACAAACCAACTCACCATTCCCAGAGTCTCCAGATATGACAATCTCTGAGGCAGGGGAAGCACCCACACTGTTGTTAGCTGTGACTTGGATTTGGTAAGAACCCTGGTCGAGAGTTAGTTCTGTGCCATTGGCCGGTGCAGGAATAGACTGGAGCTTTAACTCAGATTTTTTATCTAGATCTTTTGCGACTATATTATAGAATAGGATCTTGCCATTGGCATGAAATTTTGATAGTGGCTGAAAAAAATATTGACAATCATTTCAAAATGGATTTTACCTTGAAAGGATTTTAGGTTTTGTGTAATTACCTTTTTATCTCTTCTGTCCCTTAACTGTGTGACACCTTCATGTACAAACACATACACACATACCAGCAAATTCAAACAGTTTAACAATGAAAATAGTCATCAACACCAATCTAACCAAAGTGAGTAGAGAGATGAACATTTGGGGACAATGCTCAAGACAGGCTTTGTCAGAGAGGAGAGAGCTGACTTGGAATCAGGAGGACAGGAGACTCTCACTTGGAAAGAAAACAAAGATGTGGGGGGCGGCTGAGGAGAGGAGACCCGTGGGCAGAAACTGCACACAAAGGCTCTGTGGGAGGGCCTGGCCTGGCCTGACCCCTCATCCGGTTGTGTTCATCTCACAACCAGAGCCCACCTTCCTTTTCCTAAAGGGTCCTTCAGGTCCCTGGGAATTTCCTGCCTGCACAGTCCAGCCCCTCATGAGCCACCCTAAGACACTGTGCCTTGCTGTTTGCACCCCTAGGCCTCAGACTGGGCAAAGGCTGTCCGTTCAGGAGGAGGACAGAACCTGACCCTGAGACTGGTGGGACCACAGGCGTGGACACAGAGCCCTTGTCGAAGGTGCCAAATGGCGGGGGGGGGGCGCGGGGGAAGCAGGGCGGGCTCTGGTCGGGGCTCGACTCTGTCCACATCACCACGTTTAGGTCTGAAACACTGGAGAACCCAAGAGCGCTAAATGTCAAGCTGACCTTCTGGGCTGTCACAAAGGATATTAGGCTGAGCAGAAGGAAAATAGTTATTTTATATTACAATTTTATAGCTTGATTTATCATTTTAAATATAAATGAGTAATTAATTAATTTTCATAGTACTGGGGAATCTGTGGCCTCTTGCATGCCAGGTAGGCACTCTTCTACTAAGCTACATCCTCAGCCCTTTATACTTTTGATTTTGAGACAGACTATCACTGAGTTATCCAGGCTGGCCTCAAACTTGTGATCCTTCTGCCTCAGCCTCCTGGGGAACTGTGACTGCCAGTGTGTGTCACTGCACCTAGCTCACAATATTAAAATATGGTATGTGGCTGTCCATGTATACCCTTGCTCTGGCCCCTGCAAAAGCTTGGAGTGGGGTTGAGTAGAACTTACAGAGTAGAAGGTTGTAGTAATCAGAATTGGACATCAGTGGCACGGGCTGTGAGGAGAATAATAGCTGAAGAATTAGGACATTAGTGTGCAGTGGGATTCCTCCACTGGGTAAGCAATTTTATTAGATTAATGTTACACTCTCTCTCCATGGGGAGACTACTAATATCCAGTTTCACTATGAAAAAAAGGTGAGAGCCAGTAGACATTTTGAAGCTATGCAACTTACCTTCCAAAATAAGGTCACATGATGAAGTCCTTTCTCTGGCTTCACTTTTCTCCAGACATCAAGAGCCTTGGAGGGAGCTGAAATTAACAAATACAGTTCTTGGGTCATATGATGTGTGCACAGAAGATATGCATTCAGCTTCTTTCTAAGACAGTGATGATACCTGTCTCCTCCCCGGGGTTTGTGTCTCTCTCGCCTTTTCACTCTGACTTCTACTCACTTACCACAGCCACACTGCTCATGCTTCTTCAGGGGCACACAGTAGGGGCTTTAGAAAAGATCGGCTGCCCCTGAAAATGACATCAAACTAGAAGCCCTTATAAATGTCAAGTCCTAGAACTTCTGGAAGCCGACAAAGAATTCTGGAAACATCTGTCAGATCAGTTCTAGAAAGTAAGTTAGGTAATTTCCCACATTTTTATTTTCTAGGCAGTGATCTAGTGCCACTTAGTGCCATTTGCAAAAGCTACCAGTGGGGCAGAAAGGGCAGGGGCTCTGCTTTCACGAACTCCCCTGCTGGCCCTTTGCTGGATCCACTAGAAATACCTCCTTGTCCTCCTCTGCTGCCTGAACCTGGGTCAGCTGACTGCCTGTGGACACGAAGGGCTCTACTGCCCCCTCCCCTCTAAAATGGTCTTACTACACTATTCTAGAATAATCCACAAACTAAGAGAGAACTTAGAAAAGAACCTGCTTAAGTGCTCCAAAATGTTCTCTTCTCGTCTTTATTCCTTGCTCAGAAATTCATGCAAACTTTTTTTTATTGATTGATTGGTTGGTTGGTTGGTTGGTTGATTGATTTCCACTGAATTTATCCTTGCTCAATGCACTTATCATGAGGAGGAATCAGTCTTTTAATTCAAGTTAGCTATATATGGGTGCCTTCATGTAAAACTGTTTGGGAGGATTTCATTTACACAAAATGACTGCTATTATTTACACAAGGACTACTAAATGCCAGGTCACTCCCGTTTTCCATATACCAACTAATTTAATCCTCCTGGCTCTGTGAGGTAGATATTTTTATTTATCCTATTCTCTAGATAAGGAAACTGGGGCCCAAGGAGATTAAATTAATTGCTCAAAATTATTCAGATGTAAGAGCAATGCCAAGATTTGAACCCATGATAGTCTGGGTCTTAGCCATGACATTACGCACCTCTAGGAAATGGAAGTCACTTGAAGGCTCAGCTTGCATAAAAAGTTCAAGTAAATGCACATAAAAAGTATCTTGATGATGGAAAAAATAATAAAATCAATATAATTTATTTTAAATTCTTCAAGAAGTACGTGTCTTCATCAGTGATTTAAAAATACTATTAAAGTCCTAATGAGTACATAGTTTTCAGTTTGTAAGTCATTTTGTTTAGTATTTGTGTAATAATATGTATTCTATAGGGAATCACATTTTCCACTGTCAGGGTTTTGTCCCGGTCATACTTTGATAAGCATAGGATGACAGAAAAATAGTGAAAGAAATGTTTATAACATTCCTCAGCCACTAGAACTCTCTGGCTTTAGCTGCTAGTGTGTCCATAGAGACAAGTAAGTATTCCCACACACTGTGGTGCACACCTGTAATCCCAGCATTCAGACTAAAGCAGAGGATCATGAGTTCAAGACAAGCCTGGGTTATGCAGTGAGACCCTGTCTCAAAATAACTAAAAATAATAAAAAGGACAAAAAGGAAAGAGAAAGTAGAAGAGAAGTGAAAAGAAAAGAAAAGGAAAGGAAAAGAAAAGAAAAGGAAAAAGACTCACAGGAATCATCATCATCCTGTAGCTGGGCCTCACAGCAGACCTCCTTCTCAAATCCAGTCTTAAAAACATCTCTCTACTCAACTACATTTTGTGAATGTACAGAAATTTTACCTCTGCTTTTCTAAATGGAAAATAAAACTGTATCATCTTCCTTTTATGATTTCTGTTTTGTAATATAAATCCTCCATCTTAAAATGGTTTAAACATTTTGCCTAAAAGCCAGACATGGTGGAACATGCCTGTAATCCTAGCACTCTGGGAGGCTGAAGCAGGAGGATTGCAAGTTCTGGCTCAGCCTGGGCAACTCAGTGACTTAGTGTGACCCTATCACAAAATAAAAAAAAATTTTAAAGGCTGGAGATGTAGCTCAGTGAGAATGCCCTGGATTCGATCCCCACTACTGAAGATAGGTAAATAAATAAATAAATAAATAAACAAACAAGGCAATTAAATTTTAAAGTGTTAAACAGCAACCGTCACAAAATTAACAAAACCAGCAAGGTGTTTCACCTTTTTTACGTTCTTTTATGAAAGAACAGGTAATTTGTGATTTGATTCAAAACAGCTCTTTGAAAGAATTGTTTTGAAGGTAACACAAAGATTTATCTCCATCTTATAGTCTACAATACTCAGAAATGAACACATAGTAACTTCTTATTGTCATGTTGGTTACTGACCCTTTACGCTTGTGACAGATAGGCTGGATTACTGGCTTGATGGGCTGGGGAGCTGTCCAGCGGGGAAGCACAGTTCTGCGTGTGTCCTTAGGAATCATGGAGGTGTAATTGTATCTCACCTGCTCTGGGCCCTTCCTCTCGGGGCTCTGTCCCCTGCTCTGCTTCCTAGCCACCACAAACTGAGCAGCTTTGCTCCACCACGCCCTTCTGCCACGATGTTTCTGCCTTGGAGCCAGTCAGCCATGCACTGAAAGCTCTAGTATTAAATTAAGCCTCTCCTCCTTTAAGTTCCAAGTGTTGGGGATTTTGTCCCAGCAACAGAAAAACTGACCTTAAAGGATACTTAATTTAAAGGTGACTTTATATTATTTTAAATTTATGGAACCATATTTCAATTCACTAAATAAGCCATTGGAAAAGTCAGTATTAAAATAAATGCTTTATTGAGAACTCCTGTACAGTGTTGGATTCCAAACTTAGCACAAAATGTTCAGCTGTTTTGTAAATTACTGCTCAAAATAAAACAGTACTGTGATACAGCTGATGGCATTCTATATACAACACAGCTTCTGATCAAGTGCCTTCGCCACCCCTAATTAGAGCTACTGCTTTAAAAGGGCCCTCAGAGAATGCCACAGCAAGAGCTCTGACCCTCACTCCCACAACAAGATGGAATAAAAAATACTTATAATCTCCCCTCTGGCAGTAACACAGCCAGGGCATGCATCAACATGATTGCAAAGTTGTAATAACAACTCCAAAGAAGAAATCACATGGGAGCCAGCTAGGGTCAGGCTGGCTCGGCTCTGAGTTGCAGCTCAGTTACTGACTGGAGAAGCCAGCAACATTGCTCTACCCCCCTTCCCTGCACCTCAGGGTCCTCATCTATACACTGAGGATGACAATGCTACCTACACATGCAGCAAGGGTAGAAGAGAAAAGCACAGTGAGAACATGGAGCACTCTCTGGCACACAATGAAGGTGAGCTGCTGTTGTTATCATCATATCTCTGCCACCTATTAACATCGAAAACTGGGTGAATCACTTCAGCCTGTGGGTATAAGTTGCCCCATCTGGAAAACTGGCACAGTAATGCTTACTATCTTGAACAGGAAAGAGTTGGGGGCAGGGCCAGGCCATCTCTCCCAAGGCTCTCCTGAGCCTGGGACATAGTTGTTGATGGAAGGAAACTCTGTGTCAGTACTGAAGAAATTCTACCACCATGAGCAGCAGAGAAGACACCCAGTGTGCCACAGTGGGAACAAACCGCTTACTAATAAAGAGTAAGGGTCCAAATATCATTACATCTGCAAACACAGCTTCACTTTAGTGTAAGACCAACAACTTCCATGGCTCTAATGTTTGATTTGTCCCCAGTCCTGAAGTATAGGTCCTCTATACTAATTTACGTAGCCGAGATCCAATTGCTGAATTGGATACAGCAATATTGAATACAATATGCTGAATACAGCAATAGCAGGAGCTTACAAACTTTTGGAAAAATTAAAAGTAAGAGAGGAAATGTACAGTAGAAATAGCACTGACAGCAAATGTTTGAAGTTGGTATCTCCCCACTCATTAGGCATTTAATCCAATCTTTTAAAATGGTATTCTGTTTCTGTTTTCATATTTCCTGCTTAGTTTTTGGTACAATGAAAGGTGCTCAGGGAACCCAACCCATTTCCTGAGGCTTAGGTGTTCCTAGGGGTGAATGATGGGAAGCCAAACATACCAGCTTCAGCTGTGATGAGGGTCCGAGTGACCCACTTGCTCCACTTCCACACGTGTTTGGCATTGGCACAGCGTATGCAGACCATATACGCTGTGTCAGGCATCAGCTCACTGAAGAGAAACTCACCATTCACCTTGATGGAGACATTATGTTCCTTGATTGAAAGAAATGAAAGAAACAAGAAAAAACAATGAAGATGGACTTATCAGTGCACACAACTCATTGCAAAGGTACATCAGAACATAGCAAATCCCAATCTAGAGAAAATTAGCTCTTCTTTGGAAACAAAGAAAAGGAAATCCCAAGGCCATCTTCCCAATGCTAAAAGTCTACGGTTAAGCTCACGGCCCCTTTTAAACAGATCACGCATGTCACTGAACCCACACAGAAACAAGTTTAAAGTGATTTTAATCTGTCTGTTCAGGACATCCAAGGATTTTTGAAAACAGAAAATTATCTAATAATCTTTTTTTTCAGTATCGAAGATTAAACCCAAAGCCTTAGTTCTAAGCCTAAGTTCTATTCCCAGATGCCCCCGTTCAGTTCCTCTCTTTGAGTAAGGGTCTTCCTAAGTCACTAAATTATCTAGCCTGAGCTAGACTTTTGATCCACCTGCCTCAGCCTCCCAGAGTGCTAGGATTACAGACATGTGCAACCATATCTAGCTATGCAGTGTTTTTACCTGTCTCATATTTTCTTTATCATGGAGTTCAATCTGACACAGAAGTGTGGAATAATTCCCAAGGGCAGGCATCTTCCAAGTCATTGTGGCATTTGTGGCACCTACATTATTAAAATGGATACTGTCGGGAGCCTTTGGGTGAACTAAGGAAAGAAAAAGGAACAAACAAAAACAACAAAAAATAATTCAAGCACAGATCCAAAAGGACGTTGATAAATAGACAGTTCATCTCTTCCTCTATTTGTTTAACAGGTATTTTCTGTCTGTATTTAAGAAAATAGAAAACTAAACCATTACTCACAAGATATAATATTCCAACTACAGCTTTTCTCTTTTATTAATCACACTAGATATTTTGGAAAAAATACAAAAAGAAACAACCTAAGGATATTTGAAATTAAACATATACAGGCAGGTTGTAGAGGGGAGTTAAAACCTGAAGAAGACAGCAATTGAAGGAATATTATAACAAAACCCAGAGTCTACCCAAAATACCATTAATAATGGCAAAGATATAATCCAGAATTCTAAATATATAAGAATATTCCATAAAAATGTCAGCAATGACCAAGGGAAAAGAAAATCAATAGATAACAACCTCCAGATGACCCAATGGGGGAACTGTTAAAAAAAAAAAAGCTCCATGAGGTAAAGGTAAACATATCTAAAATTAATAGAAGGAAAAAAGTTCTCAGCAGAGAAAAAGAAAACATTAAAAAAAGAGGCAAATGAAAATTTTAGAACTGAAAAGCACAGTATCTGAAATTAAAAAAAAAAAAATCCTGGATGGATTGAGTTGTGAGACAAATGAAGTACACAGAGTGTCACATGGGAACTCTGAAAGAAAGACAGCAACAAAGGCACAGGGACCAGACTTGCAGGTTCTACTGCACTGGCAGGGAATTTCCCTTGGTTTTGTTTACCAATCAGTTCTCAGTTGGCCTTGGGTGAGAGCTATAGTGCAAGTAAGTGACAGAGTGGGGTAATTAAATTTCCAAATGGAGAGTTCTAGGGAACCAAAAAGCACAAGGGAGATATTGGAGAGAATGGTGCTTGACAAAGTGGCTCCTTGAAGTTGTTTGTGAATGCCTGTGCCCACCTTCTAATTGCTCACACCTGGACCTGTTCTTACTCAACATACAAAGCCTTTGAGGACTGAATTAACAGACTTCTGTCCAGGAACCAGTCAAAATAGTGGGACACACACATAGAGAACAGATTTAAAAAGCACTGCAATAACTGAAAACAACTTGCATTGGAACCACATAGCACTAAAGGCAAGTTGAAATGCAGTGAAAACCTAACGAGATCAGTTGTCAACCAAAAGAAAACTCTGATATTCCCAAGAGGATCTGTATACTCAGAATCCCACAACATAATATACAAAATGTCCAGGATAAAAACCCAATAATTCAGCATGGAAATAACCAGGAAAATCTCAGCTCATATGGGAAAATGGCATCAAAAAATGCCAATACAAAAGGTTGAAATTATTTGTCAAAGACTTTTAAACAATGATTATGAAGCTGTTCCAACAAGCAATCTTGAATATCCTGAAAACAAATGGAAAATATAAAAAGTCTCAGCCAGAAAACAAAGGATAAAATAAGAATTTTAGGCTTGAAAATACAATGAAATAAATAAAAAGCATACTTGGGAGGACCAAGAGCAGAACAGAGATGACAAATGAGAGTCAGTGAACCAGAAAGTAGATCAATAGAGATGAACCCATGGGGCAACAAGGAGAAAAAAGATTCAAAGAAATGACCAAAGCCTCAGGAATATGTGTGATTAAGATTGTAAAATCCCTCCCAGTTCGGGTGAAAGACATAAATCTACAGATTCAAGAAGTTCAGGGAGAAAAAGCTCACATGGGATAAAACCAAAGAAATCTATGCTAAATAATAATCAAGAAAGCCTTGATGATACAGCAAAAGAAATTATACAATTCAAAGACAAGAAAAAATTATACACACACAAAAGGAACAGAGCCTCAAGTTCCTTATACAATAATGTCTTTCTTGTCTTTCCTTTTTTTCTTTTCTCCTTCCTCTGTCCCTCCCTTTCTCCTCTCTCTCTCTCTCTCTCTCTCTCTCTCTCTCTCTCTCTCTCTTTACTCCCCTCCCTCCTCTCTTTTTTGGTGCTGGAAACATGCTAATCTACTGCTGAACTACACCCTCAGCAACAATGTAAAAAGAAATAGGGAAGAAAGATAGCTTCAAAGTAGTAAGTGAATAAATAATGGTGGAAAGCCACAAGTTTGGTGATTTACATAAAGTTATCTATTCAGGAAGTCCAGAGATTGATAAATTCAAAGAAAAGTATGCCCAGACCTATCATAATTAGACTATAGAAAACCAAAACAAATTTTAAGCAGCTACATAAATAGGCTATAATAACAGAGGAATGATTCAAATGTAATTAAAACTACATTTTAAGTGAGAAACCAAGGAAGCCAGAAGGTAGTGGGACATCTTTAAAGTGCTGAAATAAGTCTTAATCCAGAATTTGATAACCTATTTTAGGAAAGAAGGCAAATAGAAATTATCAGATGAGGGCCAAGGATTTAGCTCAATGGCACCAAGCCTGCCTCGCAAGTGCAAGGTCCTGAGTTCAATCCCTGGTACCAAAAAAATGAAATTATCAGATGAAACAAAACTGGAGGTTTCTTACTAGCAGAACTTTAAAAAAATACTAAATAAGGTTCTTTGGGCTGGAGGGACATGATAGTGATATGAAAAGGAAACTTGTAAATTTGGATATAGACAAGCAACAAAAATGGTAACTATTTGGATAAATTCAAGACTATATTCTCTCCTCAAATTCTGTAAGGTATGCGTGAATGTTAAAAGCAAAAAGAATAGTATTGTCCAGTGCAATTTCCACTGTATGTAGGGATAAGGTGTGTGGTACCTATAAGCCTCCTCAGTGGGAGGACACAGAGAAACTGATATAGTTGTCCAGCTTCTTCTATATTTTACATGAAACAGTGAAATGCTACCTGAGAGATGTGTGGCAGTTTTCCAGATAGACTGGGACTGACCCAGTCCATCCCATTCTATAGTTAGGAAGAGTAACTGTTGACTGTACTAGGTTGCAACATCCTGAGATTGGGAGGGAGAGTGGATGTAACAGTCTGGGAATTTTTCCACTCCCTACTATAAATAGAATGTCTGTGTCAGTGAATCATATGTCCCCAGAGTCTAAAACCCAAGAGAGGTTACTTTCTGAGGCCCTTTGGCTGCAGTGCAAGTGAGGAACTCACAGAGGAGATTCTATGGGTTCTGGGCAGCTTTCCTGAGCCCTTGGGGCATGGTTAGCAGTAAGTCCTCAACTTTTGTTATTGTTTGCTGTCTCTTTGTATGTAACATATCTTCTTCATGTAACTAACTTGTGTATGAGTGTGTTCTGTCTCACTGGACTCAAACAAGCTGTTAATGAAGCAAGCAGGAAACAGTCTGATGGAGCCATGGCTTATTGGCTAAGTGGGAGAAACAATAGTCCTTCTCATAAGTGGCCCAGGTGCAGATGCCAGCTTGGGGGTGCAGGAGCTGGACATGCAGCTGGAGAATAAAGGCAAAAACGAATGGTAAATGGGACATAGACACATATACATGTACACTGATGTGAATGAACTGGCTACATGGAATGAGACAGAAAAAATGTGGAAACAGGGAGCTTGGTGCATGATTCCCTGTTTGACAGGCATTTATGTGATTGCTCATTCCTGGAAGGCTTGGAAAGTAAGGATTCAGATGGACTCTGAGCCGTTTTGAGAGGGAAGAAAAAAATTCACTACTAATGGTTCTTGTGGCATCTGAGAGGAAAACAAAAGGAAGACAGGAGGACAGACTAGGACAAAAAAAGCTAGGGAAGTTTCCTATAGTCTAGCTGGTGTGTCTGATAAAGGGGCACTGAAGACCCAAGTGTCTCAGGCTCAACAGGACAGTTAAAGATGAGATTGAAGTTTCTGGACTCCCACGGGAGGCTAATGGCCCTCTTAGCTCCTATCAAGATCAAAGGGAAAAGTAAAAAGCTCAGACTTAGCTGGGGTTCTTGGATATAGGAGTTACATGACAATATTTCCCAGTCCCCTAATGGGAAAAATTAAACTGATGGGAATAGGAGGCTTAGGGACAACACAGTGACCCCTGGTGCATATCTAGTTATCTTCTTATGTGTGGGACCTTTTGGCCACTGAGTACATTATAGACACCGAGAGTTTGGCTGATTGTGTCCCAGATTGTTACCCTCATCTGAGGACTATGCCCCTGTCAGCTGAGAATCTGAGCCATAATGGTAGCACAGCCACTCTTGCCTGCACCTAAGCTACCCAAACTCTAGTGGGCTATTTAACAAAAGGGGCTCTACACACTGAGCAGGGAGCAGGACATGATTGTGTTAAGGCAAGACTTAATGCAGATGAAAATATTGCTAAGAACCCTGTAACAGCTCAGTTTGGCTGGTCCTGGGCATGGAGACCAACAGTGGACCACTGCAGGCTAAATGCCAAGGGCATCTGGGCTGAAAGCCCCAGAAATATTCTGGATATGCTCAATATTAGCTGGCCCTGATTGCATCTAATAACAAGGGGGTCCAATAGCTGCTAGTAGGTATCTTTAGGTAATAGAGACAGCATGTATCCAACCTGGGTATCCTTTTGGTCCTCTTAGTCAAGGTAACCAACAACACCACTGATTTTACACAGGGACCTTTGCAGTAGCAAGTCTTGGGAGCCATTCAACAATTTTTATCCAGCCACAGCTTTTAGTACCTTTTAGAATATGCTAGCCCGATGGAATCACAGATGTTCAGATCTTCTACGTATGTAATTAGGGAGTGTGTGTCTTACTTTTCTCATTGCTGAGACACAATACCCAACACCAAAGTTAAAGCAAGAAAGGTTTTTTTCTGCTTGTAGTTTATGAAGTTTCAGTTCATAGTTGGCAGGCTCCAAGGCAGAGCAGCACAGCAGAGGAGCATAGCAGAGGAGAAGCAGTTCATGGAATGACAGGCAGAAGGCAGGGAAGGGGAAGCAGCAGCAGAAGCCTGCCTCTCCCTCTTATCCCTCTCAGGCTACTTGACTTTTGGATGGTGCCACCCACACCCAGAGTGGACCTTCCCATTATCCACACCCAGAACT